ACTGCAGGTCCAGTTGGCCTGGACCATAGGGAGGTGCTGGGATATGAACTCAGGACCTTCCCCATGTAGGTCCAGCGGTGTCACCTTTGTGCCACTGCCTGGCCTGTCCCCTTATATTTCTATTTGTAAAGAACAGAGGCAAAGGGCTAGCAGGTGGCATGGTGGCTAAGGCACTGGACTCCCTCAGGGTTGACAGCAGTTCAAGTCCCAGACCGGGGGTGACTTGAAAATTACACTGGGAGGGGTCGGTAGGTGGCGCTGGACTCACACGTGGCCAACCATGGTTCAAGTCTCATGCCTGTTGGCTTCTTTTCTCACTTTCTTTCTGCCTCTCTTGCTCTGTCTGATCAAATTGGAAACTAGTAAGATTAATGAATAAAGCTAAAATAAAATAACTCTTTAAAAAAGAAAGAAGGAAGGAAAATGACACCAGACGTGTGCATGTGTGCCCAGAGTCCTGAGGGGAGAATGTAGGAGAAGGGACTGAGAAGTAGCCATCCCCTTAAGGAGGTGATTTGTCATTTTTCCTTTCTCTCTGTCTCTCTGTCTCTCTGTCTCTCTCTCCTTCAAGTACGTGCACTCTATGGCAAAAGCTGAAATAAAATAAAAGAGTAAAATGAACAGCGGCAAAAGGATACTGCTGAAGGGAGAGTGAGGCTCTCCCCAGGGTATGGAAAAGCTCCACAGAACACCTGAAAACGTCCGTGTCGTCATTGTAGGGAGGCACAATGGCGTGGACGAGGATGTCTCTGGCCTTTTCTGCATGTTGTTTTGCTTGCAGAGACAGCCCTATGGCAAAGGAAAAGAGGTCTCAGTGTCCCCTTCATCTCAGTGGGATCCAATGGGGTCTCCGCACAGTGGCAGTGCTGCAGGGCCACGCATCCAGGCACCACGACACACTGGCATGACAGTTCACACCCAAAGAGCCATTTTATACTGAGGATTCAAGATATATTTTCCCCAAATGGTCTTTCTAGAAATAAGACAAACAATGAGGTGGGATTGAACAGTTTGGTAATCTCACCACAATCAGACAGGACATACATTATAAAGAATTATAATGGCTGGGGGCCGGCAGTTGCTCCGGTGGTTAAGAGCACTAGACACCCACATGGCTGACTGTAGTTTGAGTCCTGGACCTGGCGGCTTGCTTTCTTAATTTCCCTTTCTCTCCCTGTCTCTCTCACTCTGTACTTCTCTGATCAAATGAAAGTAAATGAATAAAAATAAATAAAATAGTTTAATAAAAAATTTGTTTTTTTATTTTTTCTTTAGAGGTTTTGCTATAGGGCACGTGCGCTCGCCAGACAGACAGAGAGAGACAGAGAGACAGAAAGCGAGAAATCACCCCCCGGG